TATATATATATATATATATATATTTCCTGACACCAAACACGTTTGTCTCTGCCCATTCGTATGCTGTCATGTATTGGTGTCAGAAAAGGAAAATGACAGATAGGTAAGTATATAATTCTCCGTTATATGTGTCCAAGCTGGGTAACTCCGACAGTTTAGAGTTAGGGACAGCACATTGAAGAGGTAGTGAGCATGCAAGTGTGCACTGAAAGGTTTAATTAGGTAATTTTGTGCTGAATAGAATTAGATTTTTGTATTGATCATTAGGGAGATTTATTATCACTTCCTGTTCAACTGACAACTGTCAGGAAACAGTAAGTAAGGGATAACCACTCTCACAAGAAACAAGCAAGCAATAAAAACTTTTATTGTAGTTGAGTAAGAACTCGGAACACGGGCTGTTTTGCTTGTTATAAACTAACACAAGATGAAAAGTTTTTGGACCCTTAAGGCAGCGGTTTAAAAACTTACAGTTGTTAATTGTTCAACCCACAATCTTGATTCCATCATCCACGCTGGCTTTGTATAGCACCAATAAAATCTGAATTGCTTTACACGAACAGCGTGGATGGGGGAATTCTTTCCCGCCGGGCTATTGTATTGACAGTGGTAGGTGTGACACTGTCGGAATACCCACAGTAACTGTAAATGACTGACTGCAGGCACTGTTCAGCTAACAATTTTCCACCCGGCTTCTTCAATTTGCAGATCAAAATATGTTGGGTTGGAGGCTGCCAACAGAACCTCCTACGGAGCAAAATTTGCTCTGTTTATGGCCAGCAGGATAAGGACTTTAGTTGGTTGCTCAGTATGGGATTATTAAAACATATATATTCAATAGAATCAGTTCTTCATATTATAAAATTATTTATAAACATTTAATATTATAAATATTTATACAACCTGTCGACCAGATGGTCCATGATCTCCTAGCAATCCCATGGGCCCTTGATCTCCCTACAACACAGGAAGCATAATAGAGAACTTGAGTAATGTGCACATACTGAACAGTGATTAGGCATTACAAAATCATTACATAATAGTAACAAAAGAACAGAATAAATAACCTTGGGTTATAAGCGGTATCTTGCTACTTAAAACTATGACACTTTTTTTTTTTTAAGAAGTAGCCAAATAGTGAGTCCTGCTGCTTTACAACACATACAGTATATCCTGGAATAAGATCATACAGGGCACTGCATGGGGTTTATAAACTTTATTTGTGTAGATATCCTCTGAGTGTTCTGGTTTCACTGACAATCCAAAAACTTACTGTTTGGTTCACAGGCATTTATAGGCACTAGAAGGTTGCCAAGTGAGCCTCTTGCTTGAAAAAGCACTGGAGTTAAGTGCAAAAGGAGAGATCTTATAATGGACCTTGCTGTCTACAACAACTAATCCCTATTTTCTATTAGATCTCGACTCACCTAGAGGAAGGTGATAACGGTCAGTGTTCTCAATGCAGAAGCAAATTCTCATGAGATCTTCAGCTTCTTCCAGGATCCCACAAGAATGCTGAATGTTAAAAATGGTAAGGTTTTTGTTTTTTCTTGGTAATATTTTTTTAAGCCTTGCAATTTAGTAATGTATATAATGTTTAGACCTTAGTTTTTGTGGACTGCGATCTCTGCCTTAAATTTTGGGATCAGACGATGTGGTGCTAAATCGTCCGTGAAGTCTTTTTTATTTTAGAGTTTCTCCTTCTTATCCTTCCACCCAAAGACTTGCATATTCTTTACAATACACGTAGGGTTGCTTTCTACTGCAAGCTTTTACCCATACATTATGTGAGGTAGACACTTCCCCACACAGTGATATCTTGTAGTGGAAAGAATCTGTGCTCACTGTAAAAAAAAAGGTGGGTCTCTGATCCCGGGGAGGATGAAAGGTAGACATAGGAGCAGACGTAAAGCTTGTGGAACACTTGCGGCCTCTGAGTTCCTGGTGCCCAGTTCTGATGAATCTTTACCTCACTGCTAAATAAAAAATGTAAGCATGATGGCTAACTGTAACACTCAGGAAAATATCATGGCTACTGACTCAATCAGTGACCTTTGTCTCTGTGGGGCTTGTGGGAGCCATTGAACTTAGAAATAGCTAACATCTCATAACCGGCATAGAACTTGGAGGCACAGGACCGCATATATAATTTTCAGATCCAACCAAAGCACATTTGAAAACAAGCTGATAACTATTTTAAATTATATAATGTATTGCTAACTGCTATATATAAGCAATGGCAGCTTATGGGATAAAACTACATAGTGATCCACAATTAATATCAGGTAATTGATTAATTGTGCTGTCATCCACTATTACTTGTATTCAACAAGGATGAAGGTTGCAGACCTGGATGCGAAGCAAATCCAGTACTTTCTGAGTTACAATTATTTATTTATATAGTTCCAACATATTCCGCAGTGCTGTACAATCATTTAGACAAGACAAGACAAGTAAGAAACACTGACAAGCATCATTGATATACAGAAAGAGTAGTTCAGGAGGACCCTGCCCAAATGAGCTTACAGTCTAAGCGGAAAGGGACCAAAGACACAGGTTGGGAAGGGGAGATTACAGATGTATACCAAATAAAATAGGAGGGGATTTGGAAGTACTGAAAAATGGAAGCAGAAGGGGGAAGGTTGTATAGGTTAAGAAATCAACGGGAGAGCTGATACGCTTCTCTAAAAGTCCGCTTTGAGGGATTTTTTAAAGCCCTATAGGGATGGTGAGAGCCTGATGTGGCATAAGAGACAATTCCATAAGGTGGGGCAGCCCTGGTGAGGTCCTGTAGACGAGAGTTGGGTGTGCGGGCGACTGAGCAGGATAGTCTCAGGTCATTAGTGGAACGAAGGGGCCGATTTAGAGTACATTTTCTAATCGGGGATGAAATGTAAGCCAGAGCGTGGTTATGCAGAGTTTTGTAGGTAAGGCTGAGAAGTTTGAAGGGTATCCTAAAAATACTGAGTTACTGACCAACATCCAGGGAACTAGTATCTTCAGGAGTTCTTCTGTCACTCTGACTCTCCTATTTTGCTTACACGGGGATAGAGCTGAACAGTGGTCAGCTACAGAAAATCCTCTTTTAGCCCCCTGGCTTTACATTACCACATCTGCCCGGATTACACAGTACAGATGCACACACCACTGTGCCCACACATCATGTTATGAGCACCATGTTTTACAGGATGCCAGCAGGGAAGAGGAACAACCTGTGATGTCAAGTTTCCTGCAAGAAGAGTGCTAGATTTAAGTATGTATAAAGAGATTTTAAAAAATTGCTGTGTGTGGGGGTTGGGGGACAGGCTTCAGGGAGGGGCCCACAAAAGCCAGAGTTGAGCTTTAACCCCATGCAGCTGACTACCAGAGTTCTTAATGCTGGGAGGCGGCGGGCTTTATTATTTGTGTGGAATGATCCAATAACACAGTGAGAAGTATAACAATACCTCTAGTCCAAAGCAAAACAAGCAAGGGCAAACACCCACCACCAAAATTACTGCACAGATCAAAGAAATGATATGTGTCATTACCTTCATGCCAGGTGGAGCTTGTCCAGGTGATAATCCAGGATCCCCTTTTGGACCCTGAAAAAGAGATCAAAGATTCTTTGTAAATATACAAGTTAAAAGAACGGCATCTTTTTTGGTTTTGTTGATGTTTTCTTTCATGAAACGACTTCTAAGAAACGTTTCCGTGGAATAGCAAGAAAGTAGCTATTCCCACATCTTAGTTCCCCAGTTATTACATGTGTGATGTGGGATAGGCAGCTCTTTTTTCTCCCCTCTATAAATTGCTCTGCCATAAGCTATAAACAAGAGCATTTTCCTTTACAGGGTGCACGCAGAATGCTCGCACCAAACTACAGCTACTTTAAAGCAATGAACTCCACTCAATTTGTCTGTTTATTGAATAGGGTTCAATGACAAACATTTTTTTTAAAACGTGTTTATGTGTTGCACACTTTTGTTTTTCCAGTGAGAATCATCATATTGTGAGCATCTAAATGATTGTAGACATACTTTTCTGGTTAAGGATCTAACACCAGATGCCCAGTATTTTCATAATCAACAACTGCTATGCCCCCGGCAGTGCTACCTGCTGGTAAAACCTAGTGTTGAACATGTCTTGGTGAGAAATGACATCCTATTGAAGGGGATGTGTACTGAGAGAAAAATGGAAGCTCTCATTGCTGGACTTTTACTGAAAATTCTAGATGCCTGGCTGTCTCTGGGTTCAATAATTTCTGAATCACTGACCAGGAGCAATAATGCAGCAAGTAAAGTCAAAGTGAGCGAGTTTTGGGACAGTACTTACATATTTTAAACAAGCAGGAAAAGCACTTTAAAACAAACTTCATTTACTTCTGTAGCTATAAGAAATGTTCAAAGTTCACAACAGAAGCACTAAAATTTCAGCTTTTTATCTATGAGAGCAGATCTTGCCAGCCTGCCAGCCCTCTAATGTAAACAAACAGCAGGAGCTTTCCAACCCTGCACTCACACCGGCAAGTGTCATGTTTGCGCGTGTTCGTGTGCCACGTCTGCCGTGCTCCCCCTTTCCGTTTAATAGGGCCTGCACACGCGCCAAACAGAACGCATAGGTGTAAATGCGGGCTAAGCTGTAAGAAAACAACTGGAACCTGGATTTAGAGTCTTTGAGAATTAATTATTTTACAGTACAAACAGCTAGAGAGGTGATTGAGGGCTTGCTTTAATGCTGCTTGTCAAATATATGCTAATAGGTTAATGTCGATAGTCTGGGCACAAGTGCATTTTAAAGCGAACTCCAGGGCAGAAAATAGCAAACAATCCTTTTTTGAGCCAGCTAAAGTCTGGACATTTGATGTCTCCTAGTCCTCTTCCTTCACTTCAGTAGTGCAGTGAGTGGTCTTCTATGATGCAGAGAATGGTGCCACCAAAAGACATGGATGAAGTTCTCTGCATCATTCTCCTATAAGCCTAGTCACCTTGATGAGGAGCCCCCAGAGGAAGGTCCTCGTAGCCCTGTGCTCACCAGACGTTAGTTGAATAGAGTAATTCAATCCATAAAGAAGAGCAGCAGCCAGGATTGGAAGACTGCAGCGCTGGAGCATAGAGACCATGAATAGTTTTTTTGTTTTTAAATACTGAAGTAGCCAGTAAACTACCATTTTCAGAAGAGTATGTCAGCATTGGCAGAGCTTCAGTGACAACTGAAAATTTTTAGATTTCCCATCACTTTAATGTCTCGATGACAGTGGTCATGGTCATCAGGGACACAGACAATAGAAACCTGACAGAGGACCTTGCATCCATCAAAATAAAAAAAGTTTTGACTTGTGACTTTCTTTTAAACATATTTAGAATTAGTAAATTTTGGAAATTTGCTGGGCCACCAGGATACCTTGACAATAAAGCAAGCTTCTATTACGGCATCGACAATGTGTATGAACTTAAAAAAAAAAGACCTCAAACCTCTTAATTTTCACGATGTTTAAGGAAAAGTTACGAGAAGGGTTTCTAGGAATAAACACACAGACACTGAAAGACAGAATTCATTCCAGATTGTTGTTGCTTATTTTGCACTCTGCAATCATAAAACCACTACAAATACTAAATTCCATCTCTCTGCATCCTTACCCACAGCAGTCTTCACAGCTCGCTTCACTTATAATCATCACAAATTACAAACTACTTTTTGAGCGCAATATATATATACATATATATATATATATATATACAGTATACAGTATATACACACAGTATATGTATACCTATATAGTGAGTCTCTCAAATACCACTGAGAAATGTTTGCATCAACCACAATAATTGTATGTAGTGTGTAAGGCCAGTTTGTGGTGGGTGCATATTAGAGTTGTTGGATAGCTTTATGAGAATTGTGCAATTACGTGTCTATATGCTGATCAATTTCCTGCAATTTTGTCTTTTTTTGCAGATGCGCTGTGGTGCTATTCATTCTTAATAGCACCTGAAACACACCTGACAAATGTACCAAACATTTTGGCTCAGCGTGTTTTGTTTTTTTTTTAAAAGGTGCACGCACCTCTCTACCACCATTGTAACGTGCTGGGCAGCCCATTCATTTTAAAAAGGGAAGAATTATGAAAACAAGCACTTAACCCTTGCAGTAAGGGGGTAGCCCCACTGCGAGGGTTATGAATAATTCCGCCCGAAGTGTACATGTGAACCAGGGAGTCGTGCACTCGCAACAAAACAGTTAAGAATTGCATAGTACATGACGCTTTTTATTTGCACTAAACTTAATTTTTTTCCCCAGAACAACCTTTTCGAGAAATTATCTCTCTCTATCTCTATCGCTCTCCCTCTCTCACCCTCTCTCTCGCTCTCTCGTCAAAATAGTTCTAAAGAAATTTAACAAAATGCCTCCTGGTAACGAGGTCACATTGATAACAGATTCCACTAACCTTCTACTGCGGCAGGTAACCAGTAGAGCCCCTGTTGTACTATAAATGCCAGAATGTGCTTCCTGGACCCTGTAGTTTAGTTTTAACAGCAATAAAGCGGGGCATTTCAAACCCAACAAATAGCGCTAACAACAGGAAAAATATTATTATAATAATAATATAAGAATATTAGAATTAATATTATTCAACCTCAAAATATAATATTAATGTACTATGATTCCAAAATGGACCCCAAAGTGTAATTTCAAATTAACCCCTAACCCTTAGCAATGACCTAAATTCTAAACATAATATCTAATTTTGTTTTAGATACAGCGGGCAAAGGTTAGGAGCTCTTAAATGATTTATTGTTCCCTGTGACAAGTACTAGCCTACCAGTGGGCTGAATGCTAGAAAATGAATACATTCCCCCATCCACGCTGAACAGAATGGATGCTAAACAGTGTGGAAGGAGGAATCTCTACCTGGCTGCTATTGGATTCAGAAAGCCACAACACCCACGACTGTTTGAATCGCGGAACAGTGCCTGCAGCTAATAGGATGCACTGCAGTCACTGTTCACCCGAGTATTTTCCACACGGCTCAGTTGATTTTTAAATCAAGTTTTGTTGAGCTGTGACCAACAGAGCCACCCATGGCTTGCATTTCAGATGATTCTGCAGGAATGGGCTGATATTCGAGCCGTGTTTGGGTAGTGTAAGGCAGCTTGGTATTTGTTTCCTACCCTGTGACACGAGGGATGAGAAATTAGGGGAATTAGACTTACCAGGACTTGAAAGGACTTGCAGCATTAAAAGCCTCACATAGGTTCTAATCGTTCCCCGCTATGTCCATGACCAGTAAAGGTTTTGCTGGAATTCTGTTCCCAGACACTATGTTATGGATTCACATGCAGAGCCACTGTGACAAAGATGGGATGAGTAGCGATCTGCCCATCTATGGTCTACTGTATCCGACTTAGACAACGCAAATAGAAGCTAACAAGAGAACTCCTAGTTACTATATGAATGGTTCACCCTTTATTTAAAGTTGAAAACACCTTTGTGGGTTCTTGTAGACAGGCCGTTATTTGCATCTGAGCTGCTTTTCTTCCACATAAAGATATGAATTAAAAAGTAACTCAAGGGAAGCTCAGTGCAACTTAGAAGAAGTTTGAGTCAACTAAGTAGCAGTTCAGTGCAATTCAGAAGCTGCTTAGTACAACTCAAAAACAGCTCAGTACAACTCAGAAGCAGTTCAGTACAAATCTGAAGCAGTTTAGCGCAACTCAGAAACTGCACAGTGCAACTCAGAAGCAGCTCAGTTCAACTCAGAAGCTACTCAGTGCAACCCAGAAGCAGTTAAGTGCAACTCAGAAGCAGCTCAGTTCAACTCAGAAGCTGCTCAGCGCAACCCAGAAGCAGTTAAGTGTAACTCAGAAGCAGTTCAGTGCATCTCAGAAGCAGCTCGGTAGAAATCAGAAGCAGTTCAGTGCAAATCAGAAGCAGCCTGTTGCAACTCAGAAGCAGCCTGTTGCAACTCAGAAGCAGCCTGTTGCAACTCAGAAGCAGCTCAGTCCAACTCATTTATTATTATGTATGGGTGACTAACCAACTTCCTTATCTAGTCTAAAAGCCAATCCATCCCCAGAGGGCTGCTTTGCACCACTTTGTTATCTTGCCATATTTGTTATCTTGACATGGCAAGAAGGTGAGAGAATGGCGCATGATTGAAAATCTGTGTTTCTTATGGCTGGATTTAGTGGTCATTCAGACCTTGTGATGGGAGGAGCCAAAGTGGTACTCAAGGGAGTGGCCTCAGACAAAAAGGAGTAACCAATACTGACTTTTTTCAAAAAAGGTCGGTATTTGCATACTAAAATGGGAGCCTGATTCAAAGCGTGCACAGCTCATTTTGGGTAAGCCGGCATCATGAAGATTAAGCATGTTTCACTGCACAGCATTTTCTGCCAGGTTTGCAGAGTCCAGTCACATGCAATGAGTGCGCACAATACCCTGCATCTGACAGTTCAAGGATGAACCTGACAGCACCTCAGTGAAGCGCTTCACACTTTGCTAAGCAGTAATTGCAGCCAAAGCTCATGATCCCTTGTGAGTTTTACAACAAGAAAGTAGAGATAAGGTAAGTGGGAAGGGTTTAATCGCATTACATTGGGGATTAGTTCACATACTGGCCCAGCTGTTTCATCTCGCACGGGAAGACTTCATGTAAGGTTATAATATTTTTATCTTTGTGTACTTAAAAAACCCTTTTGTATTAGGGATCTGTGAGCTGAGCGCTTTGTTACGGCTGTTTAACACATGCTCAGCTTATTATTACAAGCACATGCGACACATTGCTCTCCAATAGCCAGACAACACAATTACTTCACTTCAAAGCCTTTGACTGTGACTGGCTGCAATTCAGTGAATGAAATGAAGACATATGTCTCAGAAACCACAACAAAGTCCCCGTCTGTTTCCACATTGGATTGTGTCTTACGAACCAGAGCTTTTCAGTCCGGCAGAAGGCAAGGGGAGCCTTAGATTATCAGCAATTGCCCCCCCCTCATAAAATTTCAATCACCCTCTTGTTACCGTAAAGAAATCTGTGTACTTCCTACTTCTGGAAATGCTGCACCCCTGGCCCTTATGGTGATCTTAAAATAGTATTATACTCCCAAACCTTTTTGAATAATGAATCCAGATTAAACAAATATATATTAAGCAACATAAGTATTTTTATTTTTGCTCAAGCATTTACAGTCATTATATTTCGAAGCAGCTCCAACTCTCTCAGCTGGGCTTCCCTGAACTTCCTGTCCAGTACAGGATAACAAGAGACAGAGCAGTCTCCAGCATCTGCCCATCTACGAGCTTAGAGAACGGAAGCACAGGGAGCAGGGGAAGGGTTTGCCTTGCTGTGCCTGGTGTTTGTGGAGAGACAGCCTACTAGTACTTACAAGGGTGATCCCATAGGACCCTGCAAGGGAAAGGAGCCATGCTAGAACAGGATATTATTATTATTATTATACGTCACTAGTTGCCAGGAGCTGAGCAGGATGTTCTGGCCGGCAACCAGTGACATCAGTGAGCTGGGCGGAACGGGGGATCACCAGGATGCCGGCCTGAGCTCCGTTAGCATGCACCTCCAGCACCCCTTAAAACCCCCCCTCCCGAACGTAAACACCAGCGCCCCCCTCCTCAGGTGACGATTATGCTAGGAACACCCCTGGATTATATCCTTCATATTTGTTTCAGTGCACGTTTACTTTAACCTAAGCCTTTGACCTAGATTGTTCACTTCTCCCGCCTTCTCCAAACTCTTCACCTTTCAGTGAATAGCCCTGTAAATTTCCACCTAGCTCCAAAATCTAACCATTAAAGGAAGCCTCTCCTGAGAAAAATATGGAAGCTGCCAATAATCTCCTTCTGAAAATGTGGTCTCTGGCATCAAGCATTTTGGCGTTATTGACCCGGAACAAGCATGAAGATGAGGAAAGTCAGAGTGCAGTCAGAACTTTGAAACGCCATACTTGCTCCAGGGAAGTGACTTATAAAGGAACCAAAGCCAGTAGATCATCATGACATCCAGGGAACTAATATTTTTAGAAGGAGAGATCAGCAATAGCAGCCTGCATGCTTCCTCATAAAAGGTTTTATTTAACCCAACCCCCTAACCAAACCCTTCACCTCAAGGTACCCCAAACCTAAATTCTGGCACCGGTATTTCACGGAAATGTAAAAAAAAAAAGAAATCACATATGACGCTACTTCCAGTCATTTTCCATGTCTTATGCTTTTCATCACCCTTTCTATTCTGTGAAGTCATTTCTTCTGTCATCTAATCCATTTAGTCTGTCAGTCATTAATAATCAACTATTTCCTAAAGTGAAGCACCAATGATGTGGTCAATTTTGAACAAAGTGAAATCATTGCTCAAACCCGCCAATCAGATTTTAGGTATCTTTTTTAAAGCCCTGGATGTTGTTTGGTCAGACCACTGAAGAATGAAACACTGTATGACCGAATGTTGGTGGACACCTGACCATCACACCGATATGACCTTGTTAGACAGCTCATTCTAAGATTTAATATAGTGTTGGCCATTTCTTTGCATCTCTTTCAGCCTTCATTCTTCTGGGAAGGCTTCCACAAGATTTTGGAGTGTGTCTGTGGCATTTGTGCCCATTCAAGCCAGAACAGCATTTGTGAGGTTCTGATGATGGACAAGAAGACCTGGCTTGTAATAGGGATTCCAATTCATTATAGCAGGGTTGAGGTAAGGTCTCTGTGCAGGCAAACTGAATACCTCCACACTAAACTTATCAAACCATGTCTTTATGGAGCTCGCTGTGTGCACAGAGCATAGTCATGCTAGAACAGAAAAGGAATTTACTCAAACTGTTGCAACTAGACTGAAAGAGCACAATGACTTTGAATGCTGTAGCAATAACAGTACCCTTCAATGGTAACAAAAATAACTCAATAATTTGGAGGGGTGTCCACATATCTTTGGCCACATATTGTAGCAAATTTGCAACGGACTGTTCTTCTGTGCACATCATCACTGCTCCTTGTACTACCTAAATAACCCCAAATTTGTAAGTTAAGGATGTGCAGTGTGAACAACTAAATAATTGTTTAGATAAGCCCTCACACAACAAAACTAGTCAACAAATCAGTGATCTGAGCGGCCTAAATGTGCAATTGTGTGACTTAAACAAAAAACACATAGATCTGTGTGATTTTAAGAGTTTAAAATAGAGATTGAAGGGAATTTATCAAAACTGGAGTAGAGAAAAACTAGAGCAGCTGTGAATGGTAACCAATCAGCCTCTTTCATTTTCAAATCTTGACTAAACAAACTTGAAGAGATAAGCTGATTGGTTGCCATGCATACAGCAGCTCCAGATTTTGTCTGCTCCACTTTTGATCAATTCCCCTTATTGTGTTTAGTGAAATGTGAATGAACAAAACTGAAGCTTGGAGGTGAACATATAATTAATGGCTTTTGGTCAATAATAATTTGACTTTTTTGATAAAATTTAGTTTTTTTAGATAAAATCATGTTTTATATAATATTTTGTAATGTATACACTGCCTGGCTAAAAACAAGTCACTACCTGGATTTAGCTAAGTAAATAGGTAAGAGCCTCCCATTGGATAACTTCTACAGTGATTAATATGTTTCATCTGGCAACAAATTAGGTCATCTGCCTACCTGAATGACCAAGTTTTTCCATCAATGGATTTTTTCATCCCTGATGGCACAGTGTGTATATTCCAAGATGGCAATGTCAGAATTCATCGGGCTCAGATTTTGAAATAGTGGTTCAGGAAGCATGAGACATCATTCTCACACATGGAGTGGCCACCACAGAGTCCAGACCTTAACCCCATTATGAATCTTTGGGATGTGCTGGAGAAGACTTTACGCAGTGGTCCAACTCTCCCATCATCACTACAAGATCTTGGTGAAAAACTAATGTAACTCTGGACAGAAATAAATGTGACATTGCATAAGCTTATCGAAATGATGCCATGGTGAATGCATGCCTTGATCAAAGCTAAAGACGGTCCAACGAAATATTAGAGTGCTCTACTTTGTTTTTGGCCAGGCAGTGTATTAAGCCTTTATTTTGTAACTAATATGTTACATATACAGCCATAAAATTCAGTTTGCAGACCCTGCTGGGCTTTCTGATAGAAGAAGCCAGCACTTTCAGCATGCTTACTGGCATTCAACATATAACTGACTACTGTTAAGCGAGAGGGAGGAGACATTTCCCTAGTCATTCAGTACTCTGTGTGATCTGATCTCTCCTATGTATTAACAAAACTTGTGCTCTCGCCTAGAGCCTTTCACCCGTTGACTGCATGTGTGGTAAATATAAAAACATCATGCACGATATTTCATATTAGGCTGCTTTAAAAAAAATAACATAGTTGTTATAACGATTATAATTAAACAAAAATAAAAAAAATTTTATAAAATAAATTTTTGGGCCCATCTACCAAGCGATTATTCCTTTTTATGGTTTTTCTTTTAATGTAAACACACCCAACAGCATACTGAACACATTAGGTAAAAGTAAACTTCTTCCAGAGTGTGAAAGCTTGGGGGCTTCTTGACAGTTTTCCCCAATATTATCACCCTTTTCCTTGGCAGTGTTTGGGAGAGAAGCTTTCCTGCTTTGAGAATCTTTTCTACTTAATTTAGTTAATATCCTATGATGTAAAAAAAAAAAGCAACCTCCCCTCTAGCATTGAAGCTACAGTCCTATGATTTAGAAGCATCATCATGTGAAACGGCTTGTTGTGCATCTGTTGCATTAGATTCACTTACTTTTGGACCAGGTGGGCCAGGTAATCCAGGATTGCCATGAGGTCCAACCATTCCCTGCAAGACAAAATCCATAATTAAAGCTCAAGTAAATTCTCACAAAACAATTCTTGTTGCAGGTTCGCATTATTCTTGTTAAACATACAATTTTGCCCGTTCATTGCAAAATCTGAACTCCAGATCTCAACTCCAGATATTAAAGACAATTGTGTGCAGCTCTGTGTTCATTGAAACATTTTTAAAGTGACACTAAATTCAGGAGTTAAATGATAAAAATACATTCTAGTACCTTAACTATTATAAAAAATGTATCTTATTTGTGTATCACTATGGTCCCTGTGTGTGTTGTAAAGTAGCCAGCGCTCCAAGCTCACTCCCGTGATGGACTACAATCTCAATACAAATGAGTAAACTAAACATGAGACTTTACAACTTAATCTCTACTGGAGATATTACAATGAGAAACACTTTTTACTATGTATGAGTATTTATTAATTATATTGGTTATATGTGATCTATTTGATATTTAGCACTATATTATTCACAAGGACCATAGGGAGAAAAAGTAGCCCCCCTTTCAGAAGGAAGGACAGTGTCAGCACCAATCCTGAGGTGATTTGCAGATCTACAGCAAAAATAAGCTACATTTGTGTTAATAGTTAAGGTAATTGAATGCATTTTTAAGATTTTACTCCTGAGTTTAGTGTCACTTTTAAGTGCATCCACACCTAAAAAAAAAATCATATTTTGCAGCTTACCAGTCCTTGACCTCCATTCACACCTGAGCCATATATTGCACATTTCCCGAAGTGCAACAACGCTCAACATAAAGATTCCCATTATATTCAACGGAGCCTGTTCACACCTGAGCATCATTCTGCCGCTTGTCATGTAAAAAAATACATGAGCTGTTTTTGGGCAGTATTGCACATTTTTGGCCTCATAGGCTTCAATGGACTTAGCACAATTTTCTGTGCTTTTTTCCCCTAACAACTGGTCATCTATTGCTGGGAGTAGGTGACCAAAATGGAACAAAACTGAGGATTTAGAAGTGTCCATGTTGGATTTGGAGATTTTCATCCGCCTGGTGAGGTGAGGGCCCACAAGAACCTCTATGACCCCAGTGATGCCCATTATGAGAACCACAGCAAGCAGCAGAAGGTCTGGGAAGGAATTGGGCATGACGTTTTACCAGCTTGGGAGCTCCAATAGCACAATATAGAGCATAAGTCATGCTAATGGAATACCAATTAAAATAATATTCTGAAGCAGAATGGTGAGCAGACAACATATCCTCTAAATTAATTACAACAAAAATCTGCGCTCTTGGAAAATGAACTAAAATATTCAAATGGTGGTCCTAAAGCTGCTATGAGAGGTGTTGAATGTGAAAGTATGAAGTGTAGTCACAGCGCTAAAGGTTTTTTGATAAATGTAAAAAATGTTTTTATAAATATATATGAAACAACCTGAATTGACAACCCTGTGAATAAGTCTTCAAAGAGACCTACCACTGTGGGTATGAAGTACCAGAAAACAGGTGTCCATTAAAGACTGAAAAAAATGTGAAAAAATGCTAATGTGCAAACATTCGAAATAAAAACTGGATTCCCCACTAAAATAGGTGAATAAATAATGTTACAGAATATCACAATGTAAAAACCGTAAAATCTAGTATATAAAATGTGAACTAGAAAAATATTAATACATACCATACAATAAATTCATAAATATGTGAAAAAGTGCAAAATAGCAGTGAGAACAGTGAAGCATATGCACCAATCAAGCATGTAATACAAATGAAACAATGAAAACCATAAGTCTTTCCAAAAAGTTCAATCCGTGATGTGAATTTAACCAAAAAATGCACCCAAAAAAATATATATATATATGTATATATATATGAGCAAAAAAAAATATATATCAAAAAGTTATATATAAATATAAAAGAAAAATAAAGATAAAAATATAAATGAAAAGTAGATTATTCTGGTGAAAGTTCCACAACTCTTCTTCACACGATCTGGAGCCCCCAGAGGAGCTTGCTGTCCATATACCATCTACAACTAGCGAGGGGAAGGAGCTGGGATCACTCTAAATTGTATACTGTGGCACAATTCACCAGTTTTTCCAGCACCCGTTGGATTCTGGGGTACATCGGTACAGTGTGCGAAGGAGACATCAATGACTTAATTGAGCTGGGCGGGAAGCCACAAAGAGTGTTACAGGTTGCTAAGAGCTCTTTAACACTGAATGACGACACAGATCTGGAAAAAATACACCAAGATTCAAAGAAGAATACACATGGCTCTTGCATTTAGAAAATATCTGCTTACCCCGGAGTTCAGCTTTAAATAAGCAATACTGGAAAGCTGAGATTTTTTCAGTGCAATTCAATTAGAAATTATATTATGGCTGGTAAAAGTCATATTGAGCTTGCAAGACCCTTTTCCTATAATGACTTTTTAATTCCTAAAGAGCCAACAAACACTGTAGTGCTTAACAGAGTAAATTCCCATCAGCTTACAAACTAAATTCCCAACATCTGTCATATGTGCACAATAGGGACAGTTTGGCCAAATTACTTGCATTTGCCTTGTAGGAAGAGATTCCAGTAGCTGGGGAAAACCCATGCAAACACAGGGAAAAACACAACAACAATGCAGATGATGGGCGGTGTAAAAACCAGGACCCCGGCAGGAGCACCAACCTCTTTGCCCCCTGGTTAGGTAACATCTGACTTAATGCCACCCAGTGAGCACATCAAGTAAACAAGTGACCACATCATATGAGCAGCTGCAAGAATTTGACACAGATCTCTCTACTGTCTTCTACAGCAATGTCAATATGTATGAAAAGTAACTGTTTGAAGAGAAATATACTAGGCTGGATGCCACAGTTTTTGTTATTGTCAAAATTCTACACTCAGGACGGCCTATGGTAAAGAATGATTTGCCTATTTATTAGGGATGCACAGATAACGATACGAATATTTGGGCAAGTACTCGTATACGCCCAAATGCTCCTGATGCCTAGCCCGATAATAGAACTTCCGGTATCAGGAAGCCAGGCGGCGAGTCATTACACGCTGCCCGGCTTCCTGATTGGACGGGAAGCCAGCTCCATGCTTCCTCGTCACCATATGGTTTTCATTGTAATAGTGCAGTGCTGGCAGGGTACAAGTATTTTATGTGGGGATGGTAATGTAAATTCGCATAAAGCCAGCCGCCTGCATGGAGGGAAAGACAAATTAATATGCAACTCAGGATGTGGTCTGTCCAATCCAGGAGCCAGCAGGATTTTTTAGAAGCCTGCTTTATTGACAACAACTTGAGAAAACTTCAAAAGTTAGGCATCAGCTTGAATTTTTTAAGGAGTGTTGGCTTCCTGGCTCCTCGAATTTGTCCAGCCCTGCTATAAACATTCAATGCACCGTGAGGTATCAAACAATAGCTTATACACTGCCTGGACTTAGGTAAAGTAGGTAAGAGTATGATCTGCGGTTTCTTCAGTTGGTCAGGTCTAGATTCAACATCGTTATGTCTTCAAAAAATTAGGTCAGCTGACTACCTGAATATACTGAATAACCAGGTTTTTACATAGATAGATTTTTTGTTCCCCCATGGCACATTGGGCATATTCTAAGAGGACAATGCCAGGATTCATACAACTCTGTGAAAGAGTGGTTCAGGGAGCATAAGACATAATTTTCACACATGGCTTGGCCACCACAGAGCCCAGACCTTAACCCCATTGGGAATCTTTGGGATGTGCTGTAAAAGACTTTACACAGTGGCCCGACTCTCCCATCATCACTACAAGATCTTGGTTAAAAAGGAATGCAACTGAAAGGAAATACATTTTGTGACATTGCATAAGCCTATCAAAATGATGCCACAGCGAGTGCGTGTCGTAATCAGAGCTAAAGGCCGTCCAACAAAATATTAGTGTGTGTGATTTTTTTTTTGGCCAGGCAGTTTATATAAAAATATCTATAGGAAAAACACACATAGGACAACGCTTACATATATTTGTCTACAGTGATACAGATCTTTTATGAACTACTTCATGTATTAGAGGTATCGCCAAGCCTTAGAATTTGCATACTACCTTTAGGATGTGGCTGGAAAAATCTACACATCTATGAGGCATCTTCCAAAAAGTTCTGGAAACAAGATGAAAGCAGCAAGTGGGAACAAGTCATGACCTCTGCACTGACCATTGCCTCATAAAACTCTCATAACTGTCACTTCTGAAGATTGATGCCATTTACTGCTGTGACATGTCCGCTACCTCATTATCATCCTCTGTACAATGTCTTGCAGAACTATCCCGATAAAATACAGCAGGTATGGAAAAGAATAATGCAAAGAACAATGAATATCTGTAATCCAGCAGAGAGCACTCTGAGGGTCAAAAACATTGTGGTTTTCCAAAATGAACAAGATCAAAGTTATGGAAGACTTCAGAGCAACCTTAAAAAACCAAGAAGAAAAATTTCGGACCGTGTGGTATTACTGGTTAGAATTGTCCTACTCTATATGAATCCTGATAAACAAAGAACCTGTTACAATCACTGTTGAGGATGTGATGAACTTCTGATTGGTCCATGGAAGTTATCTCTAATGCTGGATATACTACATCCAGATGGCTGCTGGAGATGCTAAAAATCGTACTTGTATTTACGCCAGATACTACTGTCAGCTTTGATCTTCCAGTCACTACTGTTCTGAGTCTCATACAGTGAAGAGAGTCACTTGCTCTGCCCTTCCTCTCCTCTTTCATTCATAAAACCTGTATGAATTTAACAGAATGCAAGGTGTTCTGTCATTGGACAAGAGACGGTCTGGTCGTTTATTCACCCCTCCTGTCCCTTTGTCCAATCACAACAAATCTTGACCTTGTTTTGACCCTTTCAATGCCTGGGCATAAGGAACACCCCCTAGGGAGCTTAAATGGTTAAAGTAAGAATAAGCACATCTCTTGTATTTAGACAATATTTGTTTTGCTTGGATTTCGGCTTTAAAGGTAAGCTCCAGTAAAGATTGAAAACTAAC